TCTTATTATACATTTATCTCTATTTATCGTTTCTTAGTATATTAAATGTATTATAGAATAAGAAATCCGTGTATTTCTAAAGTAAAATTATTTATTCTAATAATTATTGTTTAAAAGTAAAAGAAGTTGTTTTAATTTTTCGGGAACATGTCATCAAGTTTGAAAGTTGGCATTTTTACGGCTTCTTCACGTAATTTTCCTCAACAAACATTTTTTTTTAGGTATATATAGAAATTGTACATCTCTTATTATATATTTATCTCTATTTATCTTGGTATATTAAATGTATTATAGAATAAGAAATCCGTGTATTTCTATTCCTAAAATAAAATTATTTATTCTAATAATTATTGTTTAGAAGTAAAAGAAGTGTGTGAAATCTTGTTTTAATTTTTCGGGAACATTTCATCAAGTTTGAAAGTTGGCATTTTTACGGCTTCTTCACGTAATTTTCCTCAACAAATATTTTTTTTTTTTAAGTATATTTATACATCTCTTATTATATATTTATCGTTTATTATATTTATCGTTTCTTAGTATATTAAATGATTTATAGAATAAGAAATCCGTGTATTTCTATTCCTAAAGTAAAATTATTTATTCTAATAATTATTGTTTAGAAGTAAAAGAAGTTGTGTGTGAAATCTTGTTTTAATTTTTTGGGAACATTTCATCAAGTTTGAAAGTCGGCCTCTGCGTTGGCATTTTTACGGCTTCTTCACGTAATTTTCTTCAACAAATATTTTTTTTTTTTTAGGTATATTTAGAAATTATCATTTCTTATTATATATTTATTTCTATTTATCTTGGTATATTAAATGTATTATAGAATAAGAAATCCGTGTATTTCTATTTCTAAAATAAAATTATTTATTCCTGTTCTTAAGTTTAAAAGTAAAAGAAATTGTGTGTGAAATCTTGTTTTAATTTTTCGGGAACATTTCATCAAGTTTGAAAGTTGGCATTTTTACGGCTTCTTCACGTAATTTTCCTCAACAAACATTTTTTTATTTTTATTTTTTAGGTATATTTAGAAATTATCATCTCTTATTATATATTTATCTCTATTTATCGTTTCTTGGTATATTAAATGTATTATAGAATGAGAAATCCGTGTATTTCTATTCCTAAAGTAAAATTATTTATTCTAATAATTATTGTTTAAAAGTAAAAGAAGTGCAGGTTGTGTGTGAAATCTTGTTTTAATTTTTCGCCGGGAACGTTTCATCGAGTTTGAAAGTCGGCCTCTGCGTCGAGTAGCAAGGCTCGGATGCGACCTCCCGCATCCTCCAGTGGCTCGTGGAGAGTTCATGGCTCGATTGGAGGAGGGAGTTGCAGGGTGGAGGGATTTATTGCTCGGAGGTCGCAGCTGGGATTCGCATCCTAGAGCTAGGCCAGGCATTGACCTAGATGTCCTGTTTGCGTTTCTAACGTTATTTTTCCTCTCCTCTGTAGTTCCTCTATCTCGCTCTTTTTTCCCCTTTTACTTTTTTTCTCTTCTTCTTTCCTGGATCTTTCTCTTCCTTTCCATTTTACACACGCGTTATATAATCTTTCTAAAACTTTTGCGTAAACTAAAAATCAAAATTTTTAATTTCGTCTCGGAGTGTCGTAGTTAGATCGTTCCTAGTTAAAACGAGGTTAAATGTTAAAAACGATAGATAGTTGATTCTGTCGAGCATTCTCTCCTGAATTGTTTAAAAAGAAGAACAAAAACAAACAATTATTCGTATTTCTCGTATTTATCTCCTTCTCAACTATTTTTCATCACAACTCGTTCTCCATCTGGAAAAATTTTCCATATTTCTTGGAAAGAAATATTATATCATCCGTGAGTTGATGTTTATCTCGATCAGGAGAGCAGGATATTTCGCTCGATTTAACGGCGTTAATGCGAGAAAAATGGGGAGGGGCTACCTGTTGATATATAATCTCGCGTGGCGTAAACGTGGTGGCCGTCCGTGCCGGTTGCCATCCTGCAGGCGCGCACCGAACCGCCGCGCCGTTCAATTTACGATTCGACGCGCACGTCCAACCCCGACACGAATTCAATATCCGTAATAATATCCGAACGTGTTTCGATACCAGCGGCTGTTGCGATGATGTGTTCCTCGCCCGCCTTTCACGATGAAAAACGGAAGAGAGGCTCGGCGGGGAGAGGAGCTCTTTGCAGCCGCAATTATTGGAAATTGAATACCATCGCTGTCCCGCCTTGGTTTTCAGTTCGAGAAAGAAAGTTGACGTTGGACGAAGTTGAGGTTAGACGTAACTTTGGAAACAGCTGTATGGGAAATGGGAGAAGATTCGAAAGAAAAGAACGAAATGGATTGCTCGAATCTTTTCACCGGATCAAGATGGTGAATTATTTATATTTATTATTTATATTTATTTAAAATATATTTACTCTAATCTAATCTTCAGAATATCGAGAAATAAAAAATTCTTCGAAAATAGAATTTTCTTCGAGAGGCTTTCGTTTAATTTCGAGGGAATCGAAAAAAAAGAAAAAATTAAAAAATACAAATTTTCCTCTTCCTACGAATTTTGTTTCTTGTAGAATTTCCAAAAAATCTTCTTCGATATTTCTACATGGGGGAGAAAATCAAACGGAGAGATAGAGGAAGGCGGAAGAAAGGAAGGCAGGAATTGGCGGGCGGACTACCAGTGGGGTGGGTCAGGGTTAGTGTCGAAGGTTAGGCTGCCCCCCTCCCTAGCCAGAATTCTCTCAGAGAGTTGGGCGCCAAGAGGGAAGGGGCGTAGACGATCGATATTCCACTACTGGCTGTGCGACTACTACTCGCCTTTTTCATCCCCTCTTGACGCACTTTCGGAACTTCCTTCCCTCCGATGTTATCCAAGGAGGGAATGGGGAGAGCTGCTCGTTCGAGTTCGATCTAATTTGCATACTACGTGTGCACCCTTCCCACAGCTTCGAAATTAGAGGTAACTAAGGATTTAAAGAGAACTTGTTTTTCTTTTTTCCAAATGATGAGATGATACGTTTTCGCGTAGACAAATCTCAAATTTCAATTTTCGTTTCGTTTCGAAGGAATCTTGTGTTATCTGCGTACGCGTTATTTATATTGCAAATTTTTGCTCAATCTTGCGACCAGTCGATCCGAATATTAGGATTAGGATGCTGCCATTAGTTTAACAATCGATTAATAGTCGTGACAAGCAACGAGGAAACTCGGTTGTTCTGCCGATGACACGCGGCCTGCTCGGACCGCTATTGTCAGAAGTCGGCCAGATGCGTGTTCCAGATGACAACGGTTATTAATAAATCCTTGTTTTCGTACTACTTCGCACCGATCAATAGATCCAGAGCGGAGGGAGGCCAATTATGAAATCAACAAGGTTCCGCCAAAGAAAAAAAAAAAATTTACTTGAATTGAAAAATTAATTCCTTCGATTCATTAATTCGTTCCACGAAGATAGATAGATAAATAAAACAGATTGAAATTCTTCCATTCCATTTACATTCCAGTACGATAGAAACGATTAAAACTGACCTGATAAAAGCTATAATTTTTCAAGCGCGACTCTCTTGCCGGTCTCACACGGTTTGTGAAGGAAGGACGAGGAAGGATATAACAGGAAATGAAATGCGTGCGGTTGGGATCTGGACGGGGAGAAGAAACGGTAAACAAAAGGGGGGTGGAAGGGAGGGGTGGCTGAAACGTCGCGCGGTAATCGAAATCGTCTCGATCGTCTTTTTTTGGGGGGGCCAGCGTGGAAAGTCGCACGGCCCGTGTTCTTCTCGCCTTCTCGCGCCGTCTCCCGCGATTGGTCACCGTTTCAAGGCCTATGGGGCGCCATGGAGGGGACGGTTTGGACAACTCTACGTCGCCACCATACCTCAGCCCCTCCACCCCCCCCCCTCCCCGAATCGCACGTCGCTTCGTTTCTTCCCCGTCAGTCCGCCGGATTTCACGGGCTCTATCCGGGATTCCCGCTGCGTTTTAGTCTCGTTTCGAGGCTGTTCAGAAACAGCTGTCCAGATGGCGCGGCGATCTAAGCGAGCGGTCCATACGACTCGTTGAGATTCGAATATCGATCTTCGAAATTATTTTTTCTCTCTCTCTTTTTCTCTTTCTTTCTTTCTTTCTTTCTTTCTTTCTTTCTTTCTTTCTTTCTTTCTTTCGTCGCTCTAGTTTCGGTGACATAGAATGGGAATTTTTAATATCGTAATTTTTTTTCTTTTAGAAAAAATTATTTTTGGAAGAAGTGGTTGTGGTTTGTGATGTGGTGGATGTTTTTTAAGATAATCGGTGTTATTTCTTTTTAACAGACGTTGCTAATGATGGATTTTTAAGAAGCCGGGGGGAAAGGTAATTTAATAGATAGGAATTTTCTCTTTTTTAGTTGCGAATTTTTGCGCGCCAATTTTGTCCCAGGTTTTTTAAACAAGAGGGATTACAAAAAAGGGAACGGTTCACGTGATCGACAACTTTAACTTTCGCTGTCCGTTGCTCGATAAAAAGAAAAAAAGAAAAGAAAGGAGAAACGTGGACGAGCATCCTATCAATTTACAATTGCATTGTTTCGACGTGTCTCCGGGACGCAACTTGTGCGTTGTCGTAACACTCTTCTTTCTCGATTGCTCAATTTCCACGTGACTCCGTTGCGTCGAGCCAACCGCTGTCCTTCTCAAACAAGCATCTCAGCTTTCTTCTTCTCCCGCTTGAAAACGTTAATTAAACCATTTACAACGATCGTTATCCTTTTCGTTTATCGTCGAGAATAATTTTTAAGAAAAGCTTTGCTTAACTTACTTAAAAAAAAATATATATAAATATATATATAAATATATATATAACATAATATAAATATATATATAAATATATATACACGAACTTCTATATATATTTAATATTTAAATTTAATATTTAATATTTAATCGATTTTATTATATATAATTTTATATTTAATATTTAATCGAAGATAAAAGAAATTCCAATTCATCAATTTCAAAGGATGCAATCGTCTTCTCGTTCCAGATACCTCAAGACAGCAACGGGCGGCGAAGCGACACGATCAGCATGCACCTGGGACCGCGGTTCGAGGCGCACTTCAAGATGCGGTAGAGGAAGTCCCTCGACCCGAGCTCGCCCGAATCCAGAGTTCCGCTGAGAGCGGTGCGGCAACGGAGAGGTGTCCCGCCCCGGTGACACGTACGAAGCATAATAATCGCATGCATAATAACAACAACAACAACAACAACAACAGCAACAACAATTACAACAACTACAACAATCGACGGAGCGAGAGCCTACGATCGGATTACGCCACGCGAAAGAAAGGAGAGAAGGGAGTCCGGCAAAGGATTCCAGCGCTTGGACGCGCTCCCTGAACGCACCCGCCCACCCACGCGCGGCCAACCAAGGCTCGGTTACTCGACCGAACGGGAGCCCGGGAATCGCCTCGGAATCGACCGATCGATGAGAACCACTGCCCTCTGAAAAGATTCCCTTCTGAACGCGCCCCCCTCTCGATCCCCCCTTCCCCTAGCCCCCCCCCCTCCCCCTCGACAAACGTCATCGCCTCGAAGACGACCTTCCCCCCTCCCCTCCCCTCCCTCCCCCTCCCCGGGCTCCGCCGTTAAACCGTTTCTCTCCCCCGTCGAGGGACACGCGTTTTCAAGAGGGAAGTGAAGAAGAAGAAGAAGAAGAAGAAGAAGAAGAAGAGGAAGAGGAAGAGGAAGAGGAAGAGGAAGAGGAGACCAGGTCGTCGTCACGGTGGCAAGCTTAGTGAGCGGGAACGTAGCGGTGCGTTACGATGAGGCGTCAGGAGTGGTTGGCACGGGGGGTGTCGTGTTGGCAGCCACTTCCAGGTTAGCCAGTGCGGATCAGGCAACGCCCGCCACCATGGACACCAGCGACTCCAGCATGGACACGACTAACGGGGGGGGCTCGAGCGCCGGGGTGGGTGTCGGTGGGACGATCGCCTCTGTGGTGGCAGGGGCCGCGTCCTTGACCCTGGTCAAGGCCGAGACGCCCGAACACCTGGCCGGGACGTCGACGACGACGGCGGCGGCGACGCCGACGCCCCCGTCGGTCCCCGGCGCGGTGGCCGCGGCGGCCGGCGGCGCCCTCTTCCCCGGGCTAGCCGCGGCGAGCAAGAGCGCGAGATCCGACGATTGGCTCGCGAACGCGAACAGCCCGGTCGGCTCCCCGTCCGCCACGTTGCAGCCGCAGCACGTGGTTTACGGGAATCCTCAGCAACAGCTCGCCGCCGCCGAGTCCCAGCAACAGCAGCCGCCCCTCGCCCACTCAAGCCCCCTCGCCCACCAGCAGCAACAGCCCAACAGCAACAACGGTTACGCCAGTCCTATGAGCACCAGCAGCTACGATCCTTACAGTCCCAACAGTAAGATAGGTGAGTGGAAACGATTCTGTATATATATATATATATATGTATATACATATATATTTAAATATATATAAATATATGTATATATATATATATGTATATACATATATATATAAATATATATACATATATGTATATACATATATATATATATATATATTGCCTTCCTCGTTGCGTTTCTTTCCTTTCCCTTCTCGAAACGAAAAACCTTCGAAAATGGAGAAAAAGAAATCGCAACGCGCGCGTACACGCAGCGCTTGCATGAATCCTTGCGAGGATATAGGCGGGACGACGACGAGGTGGAGAAAGGAGGGGAGGGGGGATGCGATGAGGAATTCAGCGCGCGTCATTCGCGTTTCTTCCTGACAGTGACGCGCGCGCGGCCTGCGAGAAAAAGAGAGTGAAACTTGGACGAGCAACCGGATGTGACGTCACCGGCCACGTTCTTCTCTCACGCAGTCTTCCCCCTCTCCCTCCCTACCTCCTCTTCCCCTTCCTCTCTCTCTCTCTCTTTCTCTCCCCTCCTTCACCGCCCCTCCCACCGCGACCGTTGTGTCTCTTGCGTCCACTTCCGTCAATTCAAGTGATTGCTTGCACTACTGCCATACTGCACCGCTCTCGCGTTGTTGGCGTTGTTGGCCGATGCACGACCACGCGAATCTCGCGTCGAGCGCGCGTCCGATCGCGATACGGGCCCGCCGATGGGCGCCGCCGATAACGATCCGGCGGCTTCGCGCTGTTGACGGGGAGGGGAGGGGGGGGGGCGTGGGGGTTCGTCGAGGTCTCGCGTATTTTTCTTTTTGTTTTTTTAATTTTTTTTTTTTTTTTTTTAAATCACTTGGACGATTAAACTGGGTTAAGTTTAAAAAACGATTGATTCGATTCGTGGCAAAGGATGTTTAACAAGAGCGTTAATGGTTTATATTTCTTTTTTTTTGTTATTTTTGTGATTATGGACGGGCAGTCGTTTTAATTTTCGATGGATGAGAATTTTTTAGGGTGATAGAATTAAGTGTGTGTTAAATGTTAGGAATTTAGATATTTGAGGATATTTGATTGAAAAAATATTTTTGCAATTAAATTATTGCTTATATATATTCGTTTAATGATAAATAGGAATTAAGGATAGGCGATTGCCTGAGCGTCATTTGGAAGGATTGAATTTTTTTCTCGAGACTTTTTTAAGGAAAGAGAAGAAAGAGACGATAAACGTGAATGAGAAGTTTGTCGGGAAGAAGGGATTCAATCGTGGCTTCCTCCTCGTTCAGAAAATTCGTGGATCAAACGAGATCTTAACAGGGCTTGCTGGCTTGATCTCTCTCGACTTCTTCTCGTCTCGTGGGCGAACGAAATTCTTTGCCAGACAAATAGCCGAATGGGATACAAAGGGATATTACTTAACGTTAATGAAGATCATTTTTGAATAATAAGGTCCATGTATTAACCACGAGTGGATATTTTGAAATAATTCTTCTCCTCCAATTTGAATATTTAAATATTTTTCGAGGAAGGAAATCGAGTTGTTGAACTGAATCTCTGAAATTTTGTAAAATCGAACCTAAAATTTATTGAAGTAAAATTATAATTAAATTTGACATTCATGTATACACGATTATAATTTCCAGACATTTTGTTCCACGAGACGAAAAAAATGAGATAAATATAGTTTTAACAGGAGGAAACCAGCTGATCCCCAGCGGCCAACGAGAGTGGCATTGTGTCTCGAAGCGAGATAAAAATAGAGATGAATGTTACATTTCCCTGCCCAGCGATATGTGCTAATTTGCCCCTTGTGCAGGGCGAAACTTTTTCTCCTTTGTTTCTCAGCTAGGGTTAGCGTGTGCTCGCCTCGGTTTTATTAATCCAAATTATCGATTTATCGCCACCAGTATAATAAACTTTTCTTCGTCGGCCGCGAGAAATGCTTGAATTTTTTTTTTTTTTTTTCTTTTCTTTTTTCTTTTTTTTCGCAGCGAGATGCTCGCCTCGCCTGAATTGATTCATCCTTTTGCTTTCGTTAATTAGCCGCACGCCAGCTCATTTCATTGATAAATTATGCCTCTGATAATCGGCCGTTATCGGTGGAACTCGACTTTCCACTTAAAACTTCCGTTTTTTTTTTCTCTTCTTTTTTTTTTCGTTCTTCTTTCGCTCCTTCTCTCTCCCTCTCTCTTTTCGAAATATCCCATTGAATCGTATTTTTTACTACGATAAAGAGTATAAATTCCTATCCTTTTATAACCTAAGGATTTATAAATTACGAGATAAGGCATCAATGAACGAATTATAAAAAAAGAGTTTTCTTTAGATAAAGGATAGTCTAGGGACTTTTGTCTCTTTTCTATATTTTTCTTCTACTAGAAGATAAGAATCGTATTTTTATTAAACAGGGACTTATTAGTGTAATTTAAGTTGAGAGAATGTTACGGGAGAGAAATGGGATTGGACGAAAGAAAGGGAAAAAGTCCCTAGATTAATCGTGACAATATAAAAGATTCAATCTAACAAGATTCTTATATCAGGATCCTTGAACGAATGAAATTCTCGCGTAAAAAGAAAAAGAAAAAAAAAATACGATGTACGAACGAGTTTAACGAAGCTTTTTTTCTTTTCTTTTTTCTTTTCGAGGAAAATAATTTTCCAGGGATATTTAATTGCACGCGAAACGGGCCGTGAAGCGTGTGAACTTGACTCGAGAGGAGAATAGAGCTTAATAGTATTCCGTACTAATTTTCAACGCGCCGATATCTATTAGCATTATCTATGACCAGTTCTATTTAAACGCGTTTATGTGGGCTGTGACATTGATTATGAAACAGTGGCCATTATCGGAACTCTTCTAAGCCGCGTATTCGCCTCTATATGGGTATTTCGCGGTGGTATTAGTGATCGAACCCGCATCATTTAAACAATGGACAGATAAGCGTATAAAGTTCCCTCAAACTATTTTTTTCGCAATATATATATATATATATATATATACGTGTCCTTCGAGGATGACGACAAAAAACGTTGCGAAACGATTGGAAATTTCCCTTCGAATCGAGTCCACCGTTGCCGAAATAGTAAGGCAACGGTGCGCGATTCTTAAAAAAAAAGAGAGAGAAAAAAGAAAGAGACTCTGTTTTGTTACATCTCTTTTATTATTTTTCCACTTCTCCACGGATCGCGTCTGACGAACCGACGGTTGGATTTTCCAGCGTGGCTAATAGCGGATAGCGCTGCGTGTGAATTACAGCAGGATGCAGATACGGCCTTGAGTGGTGATGCACGAACGTGGTGTGCGTGTCGCGGCACACGGTCGAGTGAGCAACGCGCACAGATCTCGGTCTCCGCTGTGCCGTATGCACACATGTATAGATGTATACACATATGTACAGACGGGCAGCACGTGTATGCTGAGCTATGTGTTGACGGTCGTTCACACACACACGTACGCATACATGTACGCGCGAGGTGCAGGCGAGGTTAATACTACCAGATAGAGCAACGTGTATATACTGCGCGTTATTTAGAGCTTGCGCGTTCTTTAGAGATGTCAGAGAGAGAGAGAGAAAGAGAAATGTCGATCGGATCGACGACTCGGGGAAATCGATGCTGCCTTTCGCTCTTTTTTTTTTTTTTTTTTTTTTAAGAGGAGAGGGGAGGCTCTGTTCGGTCGTTTTCTTTTTTGGAGATCGCGTCAGCCGGGCAAAAGCGAAGTTACGAAACGATGATGTAAAAGACGGTCGAGAAAGTAAGCGAGACGGGTGGCTCCGTGGCTAACTGAACGCGATTCACTTTCGTGACTTACTCCCCTCCTCCTTCCCCACCTCCTCCTGCTCCTGTCCCTATCCCCCTCCCTTCTTCTGTTCTCGGAACTCACTTCGTCATTTCGCTTCTTCTGCGCAATAGTCATTCGTTTTAACGGCCACGCTGCCTCTAAGGCTTAATTAGTATTATAGGCTATATATGTATATACGTGTTTTAATCGGAGCGGATATTCCAGATTCTCTCGCTAATTGGCTCTAAGAGGTATGGATCTATAATCTATAGCCAATTAATAAATGCTATTCTATGTGCTGTAAAACGATAAAAGGATTACGATCCTTCCTCTAGATATCTTTTAAGTTTTTTTTTTATGCATTAATTTTTAGGAATCAATGTTGACGATATCCCATCGCGACGATATTTGTATCTGATCGTAAATTACGATAATTCGGAGAGACGTTGATATTAAATGGCCAAGCCATTTAATATAATTCTCGAATAATCGGTTCTCTCCTTTCACTATTGAAACCTTCTATCGTTATATCTAATTTGAGAAAGAAAATATTTCTCATGAACGATCCCAAATTAACGAGACGAAATTTATCGTTACATTCACTCCCATATATTAAAACAATATCGAAACTCTCTCCTCCCCAACACCACTCCAAATGTTCACCTTAAAGTTTTCGCCTTAAGCTCTCGCAACCTTCGATACCTGAGAGGCGTTGATCAACGGCGACGGTCGCGTGATATCGATTCATACACGACAGTTTAGCGCAACAGTTACGTAAATGCACTCGCGCCCGCTGCTCTCCGGGTCCCTGTTTGCGTGTACATGCGCTCAAACTCCGTGAGCGTGAAACAGCGCGCTGATGGGACGAGGTTAATGACAATATGTCGGACTGCCACGGTTCCTCCCACGCGCTCGGTTGTACTGGCCCATATAATTGTTATTCCTCGTCTCGCGCACCAGACACGCATACACACGCACGCACACGGATACGTACACGCGCGGCCGGCCATTTAATTTTCCATCGGTGAACCGTGAGCCGTTTTTGCGCGGAAAGGTCTGGTATCCGGTTATTTCGCGTTGTTTATCTCTCTTGCATGGCCGATCTTCTTTATGGCGCCCCCTCCTTTCTTCCTTCCTTGCTTGCTTAGGTTAGGCCTTTTTTTCTCTTCTTTTTTCTCGAACCTTCGATGGGTTCCTCCTCGAGATCGTTTCGCGGGTCTTCTTCTTTGACCGGGTGATGGCG